GGTTTGTAAAACAGCACGTTTCACTTGAATAAGTGAATATCCTTTTTTATTTTAAAACAAATATTTTATGCAATAAAAACCTATCGCCTACGTTTTGGAGAAAAAGCAAAAATCAAAAGAAGTGTTAACATAGCAGTCGAACTAGATGGTAAATTCCTGGTTTTCAGCACTTTTGTCAAAAAAAATTTTGAAAAAAAGTGATTGTTAGTTTCACTGTTTGCAAACTGATATACCTTTGAAGATTGAAAGTTGAAATTCATACGCAAATAGATCCTTACTAGAAACTTATTTCCGTAGAAAAAAATTTTTACCTACCTCCCTCTCTAAAACTAGCCCTCCAAAACCCTAAAAATGCCTTTTTTTGACTATTTATTACAATAAATGTAATGAAACCCTAAAACATTTTGCTATAAATTCTGCAAACGCAAAAAAGTACTGACAAGCATTCTCTGCGGCGGCATAACTTGGTTCATCTTAAAAAAACAATTTAAACAGACATACAGACAGACGGGTAGAGTAAAACCAATAAGCACTTTTTTCCCTATTTTGTTGGAAGACGAATAATAAAAAGTAAAAACATACACAATATAAAAATTAAAGTACATAAAGTTTCTCGTTATGTGGTTGATTCCAACCACATGTTACTTGAGTAATTCAAAAAAGGCAAAAACAAAACAACAACAATAACAACAAAAACGTAAAGTTGGAAGGAAAAGTTTATAGAAAATAGAAAATATTTTAACACTTTTCTAAAAGTATGCTATTTAGTATAAAAGTTAAATTTGAGATGAGCATAAACAGATTTTTGAAATCATTAAAATGTGTGTGTGTGTATAACGATATTATCTTACCACAACCATATTGTGAAGAATTTTTGTTGATTTGCGTACGTGGTAAATTACGCAAAAATGTAAAATATTTGATTTTAAAAAACTTGTTTTATAAATAAAAGCGAAAATCTATTAAAACTTACTTTCTTAACATTTCGAGTTCTAAAAAAATTAATAAAGAAAATCTTTTGCCAATTCACTCGAAATTTATCATAAATGTTTCTACCAAATTTTTAACCAAAAATTTGGGTTTTCGATGAAACTGTTATAGTTTACGTTTATTTTAAGATCTAAATTTTCAATAATGCCAGTCAAACAGTTAATTTTTAGCTGAATTCTTACGTGAGCAGAGTGCATTTTAATTTTAAATTTAATTTGACGAAAATCACGAAATTATCGATGATCAAGTTACACATATCTATGAAATTAGTCTTCTTCTCCAAAAATAGCTTGCATATTCATCAAGCTGAGAACCATGAGGATCATAAATTTAGGAGCGCTTTTCGTGATCCGCCCTCTAAGTCTATCACAGTTTTTAACCAATATCAGAATTTCCAAATTAGTTCTAAAATATTTCCAAAGTGTGTAATGTAAATTTCCAAAATTAAGGTCTAGATTGTGCACTTTTTAAAAATTTTATTATAAAGTGTAAGTTTTGTTGTTTTTTTTAAATTTGAAATATTCAGGAGCACCACATTCTAAATTCATTTCGTTATTTTTCTAAATAATTTTTTAATACCAGATTTTCCTTTCTGTTTCATAGCTCTTTATGATTCTCTATAGTAAAGTTAAAAAAAAAACTGTACAACAAATATGGACGTATGCTCTCATATACCTTTACTTGATAGTCAGTCATTAACAATAATATTAAAAAGAGAAAAATAAATAAAAACAAGTAAAAACGTTTCAGTCGGTATAAACCGATTGAATTATACCCTGCACCTTTCGTTATTGTGTAGCAATTACTTGAACCTCTAAAATCATTCTATAGAACCTTCACGGACATGTCTGATCTATAATTGGACATCCGACTGCCAAGTTTCATGAATCTGACCTTATAATTTTTCCAAATATTTAAAATTAGCTTTTGGAGTTGTATGGTAAGTACCTAAACCTGCCAAGCAATTCCACCAAAACTTCACAAATATATCAGATCTATAATCGGACACACAACTGCCAAGTTTCATGAATCTGACTTTATTATTTTTTCAAATATTAAGAATAAGCTTATAGACTTGTATGGGATCTACTCGAACCTGTTAAGCAATTCCACCAAAACTTCAGAAATATATGTGACCTATAACTCGACATACAACTGCCAAGTTTCATGAATCTGACTTTATTATTTTTCCAAATATGTAAAATAAGCTTTTGGAGTTGTATGGCAAGTACCCGAACCTGTCAAGCAATTCCATCAAAACTTCACAAATATATCTGATCTATAATCGGGCACACAACTGCCAAGTTTCATGAATCTGACTTTATTATTTTTCCAAATATTAAGAATAAACTTTTAGACTTGCATGGGAGCTACTCGAACCTGTCAAGCAATCGCACCAAAACTTTAGAAATATGTCTGACCTATAATTGGACACACGACTGCCAAGTCTCATGAATTTGACTTTATTATTTTTCCAAATATTTAAAATAAGCTTTTAGACTTGTATGGGAGCTACCCGAACCTGTCAAGTGATTCCTCTAAAACTTCAGAAATATATTTGACCTATAATTGGACACATGACTGCCAAGTTTCATGAATCTGACTTTATTATTTTGCCGAATATAAAAAATTTGCTGTTGGAGTTGTATGGCAGCCACCCGAACCGGTGCAGCTATCCCATTATAATTTTTAGAGCATGTGTAGAATATAATTGGACACATGTATACAAAATTTTATATTTATACCTTTATTTGTTTTTGAAATATTTAAAATAAACTCTTTGAGTTGTATGGCAGCTACCCGAACCCGTTGTCCGAATTAGGCCAATAACAATAGGGCTCGTCCTTGGCACAAAAGAAAAAACTTGTGAAAGTTTGGTGTCGATTGCATTATTCGTTTTTGAGTTATCGTGCGATCGGACGGACGGACGGACGGACGGACGGACGGACGGACGGACGGACGGACGGACGGACGGACGGACGGACGGACAGACGGACATGTCTAAATCGACTCAGAACTTTACGCTGAGCAAGAATATATATATATGTCCATACCGCAGATGACTCCTTCAAGTAGTTACAAACTCCATACCAAAGTTAATATACCCTTCACGAAGTGCAGGGTATAATAATGTGCGTTTGTTATGTACGCCATGTGCTTTACTGACAGCAACGCCACTTTTCATTAAAAGAAAACGCTTTGAGAAAAAATTATATTGTTTTTTTTTTTGTTTTGTTTTGTTTTCTCTTTAATTCAAAAAGCTCATGGGAATTATTTATTTTGTGTTATTTGTTGTTGTTATTTTTTCCCAGAATTTTCACCTTAATTTTCCGGCATAGAAAATATGATGATGATAATAAAAATAATAATAACAATAATAATAATTTTATACGTAGAGAAAGACAGGTAAACTGAATTGAAATATCAAAAGGAAATTTGAAAAGAAAAATTACAAATCGCAGGTACGTACAACATAGAAAATTCTATTTTATTTTTAATAGTTACAAGTGTGCGTTCTGACGTTAAAGTATTCTGCCTTTTTTTTCTAAATTAGAAAAAAGGTTTTTAAAATAAACAAAATTATATTGTAACTTTGACTAAATGTACACAATAACTTGTATAAAACTTAAAATGGAATATATTAAATATGGGGAAGACGGGAAGGCATTTAAAAAACAAACTTTAGTGATTAAATGCAATTGAAATACAAAAAGAATTTTAAATTGAAAAAATATAAGTTAATTTTAATGCTGTAAGCAAAGAATTCGGTAATATTTGAAATTTTCGATCGTAATATTATTTTTGTGGAACAATTCACACAGAGTGTTGAATTTCGAATGTTTTATGTGAGCCTGCATAAAAACTATTTAGTAGGTATCTATTTAAAATATTGTGTTTGCTTGTGAATCTTTTACTTTGCCAAAATAACATTACATTATTCGGAAGAATATTAAGGGCATTTAAATTCACAATTTTTAAAATTTTATTTTCTTCCTGCAGCAACGGAATATTTTAATTGCTCTTATCAAAGTTGTCTAACTCTTCATTAGCAATCACAAATAAATTAATCACTTTGGATATAATGTGATAACAATTCCATGAGCAATATAGAAAAAAAACCCTAGGTTATATTATCATCCACGGAACACCTTCAATAATCCTTTATTTTGTAAAATTGTGTATTTTCAAGTCTAGACAAATTAATTCCACTTTGTTATGCATTAATATTTGATATACAAAGGATATTTTGTAAAAAAAAAAATAATTAATTTTGTGTTCATTCACTTTTAAATTTCCATGTGTATATGTATCTATTATTAGTCTCCAACTGACAGATACAAAGTGTTTACAGTACAATTTAATCAATAAATAAGTTTAGGTTATGTGAATAAGTTTTATTAAAATTTTGCGAACTACATTGCCAATTGTCAAGTCTGTTAATCCTCCTGTCCTAGAGATTACTCAAAAGGCAAATATAAACAGAAACTTGGCAATAACTATGCATGGCCAATGACTAATCTTATTGCCTTAATGGGGTCATATTTTAAAAACTATATATTCAGTGCACAGTAGTGAACTTTATTGCGATAAATTTATTCATATAGTACCCACAAATTTTCGGTAATATACATATATAGCTTACATTAGCTGTATCTTGGAAACTGTTCAAGAAACATTTCGCGCAAATAAATGTAGGCAAGGTAAATAAACTGCAAAGTACCTAAAGATTACTCAGAAAAATGGCATGAATCGTTGTAAAAATTGGTAATGAATACTCCTGCACTTATCTTTTCGCAAAGACATTCGTTCAATTATTTTTGAAAACGATTTTTAAGGGTTTCAAATAAAAATATTTTATTTTTTTGTTACGTGGATCATTATTATTAATTGTAATTTATAGGAATTTTAAGAATTTCAAAGTCAATAATTAATTCTGACTATATATAGGTTGTTAAATAATTGAATTAAACGCTTAATAAACAATCAGATATAAAATTGTATAAACTTACCAGTAATTGTCCATAATTCTCTTAGGCAATCTTCACGTGATTTTGCTAATGCCATATTGTTTTTAATATTACGTGTTGGTGCTTCTAATATTGGAAATATAAATGCACCCATAATACTATATAATATAACTAAAACAACTAAACCTGGTGTCGAAAATACTATTTTAATAAATTTATTCAAACAATTTGGTAATTTATTTCTAAACGTTCTATCATCATTTTCATCAATTTCAATATCATCATCGCCGGGCACTTGTTCAACGTCCGACATTTTAATTTTAATTTATATTTTCGAACAAACATTTAGATGGCGCAATATATTATATAAGTAAATATTTAGAGCACACAATATACTGATTTAATTATGATAAAAATTATAAATTCATTTAATTTTTATTTATTTTTTTTAAGTTAAATTATTCTACACTAAAATTTATTTTATATAGTCATCACTGTTATATTTTTTTATATATGTATATATATATTTTAAAATTTTAATCACTATAATATTAAAATAATTTTGGTATACATTAAATTGGTAGACAACACTTTACTGATTTTTGATTAGTTGAGTTTTGAATCTGAAAAGGAAAATTTAAATTATTTTAGAGAACATTTTACTTATATACAATAATAATATGTAGGTATACAACACACTGAAACAATACATATAGAGTAGGAATTTACGTGCCTTATGCGAATTTGAAAAATATAATATAAAATTATAACAATATTGTAACTAAATAAATCATAAAATAAAGAAATAGGTGTACGAATTTTAACTATTTAACGATTTTTTTTAACGTGAATTGGTCACATTCAAAATGTAGTACAAGATTTTCTGGTAGCATTACCATTACATTACCGAGTCATTTGAGTTGATCTTACATGATTGAATTATACTCTGCAGTACACAACCACAATTTAATTGCAAACTATTTTCTGAAATATTATCTAAAATTAGCTTTTATAGTTGTATGGCAGCTACCGAAACTCGTGGTTTGAATTTATCCAATTGCAATAGGGGTCGTCATTGGCAGAAAAAAACGTTCTCTGAAAGTTTGGTATGGTGTTTGCTTTATTTTCTGTGAGTTATTTTTGATGCTAGCAAATCAACGTAGAATTCTCCGCTGACAAAAAACGCATTTACATGTTCATACAGCAAATGAGTTCTTCAAGTCGTTACGAACTTCACATCATCATTTAAAGAAAAAAAATTATAAATGAAGACTAACTTCAATAAAAATCGCTAATTTGCAAGTAATAAAAATTGTTGATGCTTTGAAATTCAGGAATATTTTTCAATTTACCTTGACTTTATTAACAAGAAAATCATATACAGTTAGCAAGGCATCATTTTCCATTAACCAAAATTAAAAATCATTCATGGTTTTTTCAATAGATTTTCAAGAAACTTACTAAAATTTTATAATAATTGAGATTAAGTAATTCATGTGACTGTTTTAAATCACCGCAATTTTTGAAGAATTTATTAAATAAATCAATACGTACCGTATTTGAACCCGCGCTTTTTTCGGTTCGCAAATACTTATATCACTGAGTGAAATTAATACGGAAATGTAAGGACATTAATGTAATTTCAAAAGTCAAATCTCAATCTCCGTGCAACTTTGTTTATTTTATCAATTACAGTGTTTTTGTTCTGTTTTTTTTTTTCACTTTTAAATATTTAAAAATGCAGCTCGACTTATTTAGGGCATGACTTAATTGAAAACTTTATCATCAGTGCATTTTTGACCGCATAGAATATTTGTATGTTTTTCATATTGAGTAAAGGTACTTCACAAAATTGAAATGATAATTCTTTTTCACACTTTACAATTTCATATTATATTTACATTTGCACATAAAATGTGTGTTTGTAATTAAACACACAGGATATTTTTTAATATTCTTCATTTTGATTGTGAAAAGGAAAATGAAAAAAAAAAGTTTTGCTTTTTCAAAACAAAGTTTATATTATGAAATGAGAAACTGCAAAGGGCGCAAACACACAAAGAAATTCATTATTTCAAATAGAAAATAAGGTCACTGTATAATTTGCGTTAATGAAAACTGTGAAATACTTGTGAAACACAAATTAAAAAACTAAGTTAAATAAAATTATTTTAAAAATAAACTATAAGACAATATTTGCGCCGTGTATAGTTCAACGAAGGGTTCAATTAACATTGAGTCAAAGTTCAAAGAAATTTTCGACCGAAAAAAATTATTTTAGTTTTTGACAATCATAAGTGTGTTTTAAACTTTAAAATTAAATTTTGTCGCTTTCATTGTCTTCCCTCTGAACTTGAAATTATAATCATTAATATACGCAGAGCTCCTTTAAAATATAATTACAGATAAATAAATATAATGTTAATGAAAATGATATTGTGCAAGGAAATCAAGTTCAATTTTAATTAAATTTTAAATTGGGTAATGGAAAAGCAAAAAGGAATTCCAAAATTCTTGAAAAAATTTTATTTTTAATTTAATTTATATTCAAATGAAAGAACTTAAAATAGTTATTTTGCTAAATGCAAAATCTTCTTTTATACTCATTATTATTTTTGAAGAATAATTATATAAATAAATAGACACATATAATATGTATATATACCTATATAGAGTTCGGTTTTCATACAGATTTTTAGTTAAAACTTTTCCAAAAAAAAATCCAATTTGAAATTATTCAAGCAAATAAAAGAATTTTTGCCTTACGATTTTAATGTTGATGTCTTTAAAGAATATTTTTTGTGGTTTAAAAGAAAAAGGATTTTGTTTTCTCTCTATCTGCCTTAAAGTACCTTCTTCTTAAAGGTATATATTACATATTTGTTTATACTTATATTTATATTAACGTACATATTTTTTTTCTGAAACAGAGTTCATTAAATTTACTTAGAATTTTTAAGATCACCACAAATATTATACCAAAAGTTATTTAGTAAAAATTTATAATATCATTTTTATGTACATACATAATACATTCTCCTTACTATACATTCTCATAATTATCTACATAATATAAAAATCTACGTTATAGAAGCTGTATTATAATTATAATACTGTAGAAAACAAATATTGTATTGTGTTAGTTTATATCTAAATAAAATAAAAGAAAACGATATTAGAATCCTTGCCAAATATATGATTAAAAAGAATGTAATAATAATAATCATAATAATAATGTTTAATGTTCAATATAATTACCGTATATAATAATACATATTATATACACAATGTTACTTAGTGCAAACACATATAAGCGTATATGTAGACTCTTTGCAATTTATATTAAAATTTTCCTATATAAGGAGATGGGAACATGTTTCGTTCTTCTTTTTCATTTTCTTCCATAACTAAATTCTTACATTTTGATTTATTTACATTTTATCATTATAATTTTTTGGCCCTCTATGTGTCAAAATCAGAAACCGTATAAAATACTGTTAAGTATACAAGGATTTTAATTATGTTGGTAGTGTCGTAAACTTTTACGATTGAACAAATTTTTGTTATCCTTTAAAATTATATTGTACCTACATGCTCTGTTATACATATGAACATACTATATAACTATATAAATGTTATGACCACAAACATTTACATGGGTCTTACTCGTAATTCTCTTACTGTACACTCTTTTAAAGCCAATAAAACTGAATCCATGATACTGTTATCTTAAATAATATTACATGAATGTATATTCACTTTTATTTGGTTAGTAACTTTGGTTTACAAATTATTACATTTTATTTTTTATTTTTTTTTCCTGTATGTTGATTTCTCTTTCTTTCTTAACTTCTTTCTTTCTAATTTTAAAAGTTATAATTAGTATGTGATCAAAAAGAAAAATCGGAAAAAAAGGGAAAACTATAGTTATGCAGAAAATTTTACAGTTTTGATGAATCATTTTGAAAAGTAAATACCGTAAAGCAGAAAATAACAATATTTTTTTGTTTATAGTTAAAAATTTTATCGTATGTTTAATTGCAGTAGGTACTTATTATTTTCCAAGAGTGATTATAACCAACTGATATTGAGTAAATGATGAGAAGCTTCATAAGCACAAAGCAATCGTTAAGACTGAATGTGTTGCGTAAGTCTTACGTTATTATGTGAAATATTGAACGGCTTCATGGATTTCATCCTTTCTGAGAATGTTAGTATGAAAAGTTTACTTTAAATTTTATTAGAAGCGTTTAATAATTTTTAATTTAATAATAGCTATAAATAACTTGTGTCTTGTTAAAATTCAGGATATTTTTTAATTGAAATTTTATTTTAATGTAGCAAGACATATTTTCAATTTTAAATAAAAGTTTACCGAAAAATTTTGAGAAAAATTATTGTGCATCTGCACCTCGGATCACTCGTAAACACTTTGGTATTTCTAAAATCGCTTCGATAGTTATCGAACTTAACTAAGTGAAATGATTAATACAGAAGCACAGTTATTATGAAAACCAAAATGTCTTACTTAATTTTTTAGTCCTACTGTATCTTTAATTCTTATCGTATTTGTAGTAGGTAAACATTAAATTGTTCAGTAATTCTCTGTTATTTGTTTCCCTCAAGTTTAGCATTACTCTTGAATGAAAATTGAAAGAGAATGTATTCATGTGTGTATTTTTGTAAACTAAGATATTCCAACAGACAAAGTAAAAATATTTTTAGCAACAAAATAAATCTAAAATTAAGAATTGACTAAAAATCTAAAAAAAAAAAATGAAAAATTTGTAAAAACTTATTCTATGTGTATTTGAGGTTGATGATTATTTATTTTATTAAGGGTCAGATGCTATAATAACTTATAGAGAAGTTAAATGGTTTTGTATCAAATTGACTGACATATCTGACAGATTTACATGTAAGTATGTAAATTATTCCTTTTCATGTTTTTTTTTATTTTTTTTTGCTTTCCCTTTTTAGAAAAGGGTAAAATCGTCCATACTAACATATTTTCTGAAATGATAATTAGAAATAAAATGTTTTCATTTTCCGACACTTCAATGAAACATGAATATTTTGTATAAATTTATTCAAATGCCAACTTGTGCGGAAGGTATAGAGTTATGATATGATTTTTCTTTCGGGTTTCTTTTAGGGCTTTTTTTCTTTTTTTTTTTTAAATTTCTTATTAAATTTTTTAATAGCTACAATATAGGAACGCTTTAAAAGTTAATTTAAAATTCAGTTTCTCCGTTTCATTTTTTTTTTCGTTTGGTTTTTGTTATTATCATACACACATATGTTGGTATTGTTATCTTGATGGGTTTATATATATATATTTACCTTTTGTATTGTGTAAACATTATCATTTCTTACAGGGGATGATAAATACAATTTATATGTGTGTATAACTGTAAGTATATAATACTTATGCACGTATGCATATGAAGAAATAATACTAGATAAATATATAAATATATATATATATATATATATATATATATAAAGGAAAATATAAATGTTATAAAGTAAATCTTGTGGAAAATGTTTTGGTTTTCTTTTAAAATTTAAAAATTTTTCATTTAGGATAAGATCTTTTTTTTTGTTTTTTTTAATTTTTTTT